GGACCTTTCTGGCAACCCTTTCATCCTCTTCACCTACCTTACCCGGCAAACCCCTGTTTAAAACGATCTCAAGACTTGTCCTCTTTCAGCCTTCTAGGTTATCTCTCGCCTCCACTCTAAGCAGCTGCATCACTCCTGTTCTGCTATACTTACTATGGTTTGCATATCCCTAATGAGTGCCCCCTCTCATACCGCACTGCAGCTAGTTGTCGTGGTTTTCTTTTTATTCTAGAGATCTAGTTGAGAAAATGGGCTTTGGGGTTGGATCACTGGGCTTAAGACCCACCTTCTCCATTTCTTAGCCATGTGACTGTAGGATAGTTACTTTACCTGCTTAAACTTTGTAAATTAGAGATGGTAGAGCCCATATTGGAGAGTTGTTGAAATAACTGAGATAATAAAATACTTAGAACAGGACAGGTATAAAATGGGTGCTCAATGAGAATTACCTGCTACTTTTATTACCAGTTCCTAGCCCAGGGTGTGGCAGACAGAATGTACAAATTGCTGGGAAATGAACTTGTATTTCAAGACTAAAAATATTTGGGAAAGAATGTTTTATTTGGGAGGCACCTGTAGCTCAAAGGAGTAGTGCACTGGCCCCATATACTGGAGGTGGCGGGTTCAAACCCGGCCCCGGCCAAAAACTGCAAAAAAAAAAAGAATATTTTACTTTCAGTGCCTTTGAAAAATATCTGTAGTTGCGATACTTTCTGATAACTGTATATCTGGTTAGCCATATGTACAATATTGTATGAGGACAGTATTTCAATATTGAAATATTAAACTGCAATTGTGAGAAATAATATAAACAATTCTGATAGGATAGTATTAAAATGTGCAATAGATGGATAAACTATTACCGATCAGGTTCAATGTAGACCGTTCTGGTGACAGGTATACTACATGCTCTGATTTCATTATTATATAATTCATCCACATAACAAAAAACCCTCATATCCCCTAAATCTATTGAAATAAGAAAAATAAAAAATATGTAATTGTTTTTTAATAATTCCTGTGTCCTGTCTTAGAACATAAATGTCCCCAAAGCAGGGTTTGAGCTTGTTTTACTGATATGTCCAGGAATGCTGTAGTTTTTAACATATAAAAGATATTTAACAAATATTGGCTGAATGGATAAACAAATGGGAAAATGGACTGTGCTTACACATCAGCAAATACCTTGTCAGTTCCCTCCTCTGTTCCTTTCTTTTCCTCCATCTTTACTGCATGTCAGAATTCTGTTTAACCTTCAAACCCAGCTGAGATACCCATTGGCCCTTCTCTGAACTCTTGTGGTAATTGACGTATACTTGGGGTACTCACACTTTGCATTCGGGTTAGAGTGCTACTGAACCCCTACGAAAATTTCTGTGGGCAGAATCTCAATCAGGGGTATTCCTGATTTATTCATTTCTGTATCTCTCTGAATACTTACTAAGCTTCATGATATTCACATTAGGAACAAAATCGCTTTTTCAAGATGAACGGATAAATAAATGAATGACTATGATTATAACTATTCTTTGATTGACAGAAACCCAAAGTCTAGCAACAAGATGCCAGAACACATGTTCTGAGGACCCACTGAATACCAGTGTGGAAGGATTTACCAAAGCTAAATATGATGACTAGTAGAATAAAGAAAACCAACTTTGGGTGCTGTAGTGAGAAACAGTGGGGCACTATCTGGTCAAGGGGAATGCTACTTCTCTTACAAAATGATGGATGGTGTCATGAAGACGTTCTCACTGTAATGTTGGACCCCTATCCTAAGCCTAGATTACTGCTTGACACACAGCAGGGCCTCCAGAAAATGTGAATATACTTAATGAACTAATGAGTTAATTAAACACAGGCTAATCCCTATGAAGAAACTAATTATCAGAGTGTTTTTAAAATCATATTTACTTGCTTGGACAAAATGGAATAGCCTTTGATTTTCCTGATACCCGAAGATACTATCTGGATGAATGCCCGTATGGCCCTAATGATGGAACTAATTTACATGACTTCGTGAGACAGCTTTTTATCATTCAATAAATATGTAGGTGCTGACATTGCCAGGCACTTATGATAAAAAACATGGGAAATCCTGTATTGTTGTTTTGTACTTGGGACACTTGGGTATAAATGAACCTGCTCAAGACTCTAGATTTGATTTCCATCTTATCACTAAAAGGCATGATATGATTTGTGAAATCAAATCCAGAAACTTCGAAGTTTCGTTTCTTTCTTCTCTGCTGTCTGTTTTGGGTAGCACTATCCAAGATTCAGCTGCTACAAATTGCCTTTCATCACTGTGAATTTTAGGCTGTTATAGGGAGGTTTTCTGGGAGAAGATTGTATCAGGACTAGAGACTTTATGTCAGGCTGATGATTAGTCCACAGAATAGTCCTGACTGAAAACCCATTTGTGATCTATAGTTTATTGTGTGTGTGAGCGATGATCCAGACCATCTAACATCTGGAGTAATGTGTTATAATGATGTGTTTGGAGTCCACATTCACAGTGGATGCACAAAAAGTCATTGCCCTGGATGTAAGTTTTTCAGGTCTGTTTTCCTAAGAACAACTATATCAACATGTGTCTGTAATTTTACACATCATTCATTTTCAAATACTTTACATCAAAAGAGAAAAGAAGGCAACTAATTGAGCCATATAGTTGGTCATTTTTTAATATAATAGAATCAACATGATAGGATATATGCATTTTAAGATTTATTAAGATATTCTGAACAACACAGGATATCATTAAGCAAAACTACAATACACGTCTACATGTACTTGTATGTGTGAAAATAACTGTTGTGTGTAAAAAATATATCCAAATATCATTGGGTCAAGGTATATATAAAACTAGAAATAAATAGAGACATTTTTCTGAGATCTAAATTATATTACCATGTATTCTGACAAAGAAATAAGTTGAGGCTCAGTTTAAACAGAATTATTCTCAACTGATATTTTAATAATGGCTATTTTTTTTAAAAGAAGCCATCATAAAATTGATATGTTTTATTTAATGAAGACTTAGAAGAGGTTGAAAAAGATTTGAGACATTGGCAAATTTTCAATATCTTTTGAAAAAAAGATTTATAGCAGTCCAACCTGAACGATAACTTGGGTATGTTTATACGTACATGTGCAGTAGGGGAGATTGTGAACAGATACTAGAAGGGGAGAAAGAGTAGCCCATTGAATATGGGAATTGAATCCAAGGTTATCTTTCCCATAAGGATCTATACTCTGTATTAACTCATCTCTGCTCCCACCACTGCCCCACTGCAATGCTTTAGCCAAGTTTTTTTTTTTTTTTTCTCAGACAGATTTGGGTAGAAATAATCCTATGATATCAGTTTAGACAAAACTGGTACTGAAAAGTATCATGAATCAACCAGAAATCCTGAAATTGGAGACTCTTGTTGGTTAATATATTAGTCATCCCTCACATGTTCACCGGGTACTCCTTACATGCCAGGCACTGCCCTAGACACTGGACATAGATGCACCAGTGTATTTAAGGAATTCAAGACACATAAATCAGAAAACAAATAAATGGTACATGCATTTTCCAACTTATTTACCTTCTCATCTCTCTCCAAAAAGTTACAGTATAATTAGATAGACAGAGAGAAAAACACTTAAGAATAAAATATTATGGGATAAATTGGAGATGCGTACAAGAAAACAAGAAGGGAAAAATAATTCCGCCTGGCCATGGAAGGCTCCATGTAGGAGAAGATGAGCTTCGAAAAGAATATCGTACTTTCTTTGATAAAACGAAGGAAGAGGAGTTAGGTAAAAATAGTAGAAGCCAAGTATACACACTAAATTCTGGTTTAAAGCAGAATCATTATAAGTCAATATGATTTAGAGAGCCTCCCACCATTAGTTTTTTAGATTCCTTGCAAAAATTATGTAAGTTTTATGTCTTTAATAGTTAATATCAACTTACAATGATCCAACTTGAGTACAGTGGTTCAATTAGAAGACCTTCAAATATAGCACAGTCTTTGTGACATTTAGTTGATTCCCAAGTTACAGAGAAAAGTATGATGGCATCTAATTTGAGTCTTTTGAAAATAGCTTGAACTTCAAGGAAGATTTATTTTAACTATTGACAGAAGCATTTCTCTTGAGGTTTTGCGTCAAAAAATAATGTTTTCCTTGAGAGAGCTCTAAATCATTTTTATCAGAGATTAATTGTTAATTATCTTTTCTCATTGCCAATTGGTTATCTCAATACTTCAAAATAGATGTAATTAAAATAATCAACATTTTGATATTCTTCTTCTGAGTCTTATTTACCTTATCTCAGCCTATCAAACGTGGCCAGCCTAGTTCATGTAGTTGGATAAATTATAAGCACATTGCTTCTGCAATGTAAGCACAGTGACAACAACTCACCTATTAACTTTATATATCCACATACTTCTGTCAGACCTTCTTACAAAGATCTAAGTATTGCGTCCCTACGTGCTGAAGAAACAATCACACTATTCAAGAGAGATTTTCTTATGGGTTTTACTTTGATAAGCAAAGAACAAAAAATTAAAAACTAACTTTTGTCTCCTTGATACATATATTATACCCAACTCCAAAAGATATTTGAGTAATTCTAAGAAGCTCTGGGGAAACCAATCAGGAAGTATACACTGCAAGTTATTTTAAACATTAATATGTGTACTATCAATATGACAACTTTTTTAGTATTTCTTGTTATTAGAAACTCCTGTCTTAAGGGGGGATGAGTTTGTTTGGGCCACTGTTTACTGTTTCTCACTGTTAATGTTTGATCATATTAAGAACTCAGATTTTATACAGAGCAAAAACAGATATATATATATATTTATCTTGAACAAGACCTACAGAGAAAATACCCTGTCTTTAAATGCACAGCACACACGCATTTCTCTATAGATGTAACAGGTAAAAAGGAACAAAAAAAAATAAAAAGAATCCCAAGGAAAATAAAAGGCAATATTTCTTACCGGAATGAAGGCATGTTGCATAGCTTGCTCACATTGTTTTAAGGAAGCAATAGTATCCCACAAAAGCTGGTAATTCTCAGCCCGAGCAGCACTTGGCCGCTGCATAGCGAAAGCTGGTAACACTCAAACTGAGCTCATAGAACCCAGTTGAAGAAGGAAAAAAACCCTGCAGATCTGTTACATAAACTTCTTAATTAGATCTGCTACACAAACTGCTATCTTAAGACTTAAAAAAAAAAGTTAATCAGAACATTTCTTTTGGGGGATAACTGGGCATGACTTGAACAGAGACAGATGTTTTCATTGGGAAGGATTTTCATTCCCACACTTGTGAAAAGCAATCCCATCAGTGTTCCCCTATCTTCACATGGGTCTGGCGAAACTGCACATACCATAAGTGTGTGGGGGGAAAGAAGTAGGAGGGAGAGAGATGTGAAAAAATATTTCTACCAGAAGCTCTGGGTGGCAAAGCCATGGAGGTAGATTTGAGTAGCTTATGAAGGTAGTGAAACGGGAGGGAGTGATTTGCACGTGCAGGTAGCCACCCCTCTCTGCTGAGTGAGAATACAACTCTACACAGACACCTGCACGGCGTCATTTCACAGGGCCACCCCTTCCCCCAGGTAAGCCCTAGATGCGACATATTCCTCACCTATACATTATTACTTCATTTATGGCACTACAAATTCTTCATCTGGGATTATCCCTAAAGACTAGCCAGAAGATCTGTAAGTCTCTTCAGATTTAAAAGTAATTAGAAGACCCTCGTGTCGCCTATGTAATGAAGACAAGCCAAACTTATTTTTTATTCTGGAGAAAATTTACATAGATAATTCAAGAAGAATTATGCCTTTAAATGTTCTTGGGAACAGAGAGTGGGCTGCATAAAGCTGGAATGTGTTAATTCCAAAGGAATATGCTTTTGTGCTATAACAACAACAAAAAAAAGCTAGTATAAGCACAAAGGAAAATGTGAACAGAATTTAGGGGCATATTCTGAGTTCCTTTCATCTGAGGGGTTGCTGAGGTAGGGGGTAAGTCATCTTGAAAGAAGGTGCTGAGCACTCAGGAGTTTCAAAAGAATCCACACTTTCAAGGCTAGTTTCACATCTAAAATGATATTTACTCAAGCATTTTGCGAGGTAAAAGGCAAAGGAAGGGAAGGACACAGCGGAATCAAGAAACTGCATTTAATTGACCTAGAAAATCCAAGGAGTACAAAACAAGGTACAAATTGTAGGAAACAGTTCGATAACATAAGGAAAGATTCTTGCAGCATTATTTTTAGAAGAGCAGCATGATTTGGGTTACCTAGTTTTTCTGCATTTGTACCTCGGCCCTGGTGGATTAGTTCATACTAATCACTTTGTGGTGTGAAAATCTTGAAGGCCAAGACCAGCCAAGTTTTCCTATCAATTAACTCTCAATTCCTCTCAATTACTTTTAATTTTGAACTGGAGTAATGGGCAGTAGGACTTTATTCTTTTCCCCAAATTTCTACCTGGGTGAATTTGTAGGGAGCTGATTTTCCCTTAGCATTCCATGAATACAGACCATAAGGCTATGGCCATTAGACAGTTTGTTTTTCAACGTCAATTCCACCACTCTTCTCTTTTTCTCATTCATGGTGTTCTGCTCAGCTCACACCCACAGTCCCTCCTCTGCGTTCATTCCTGCCCTTACAGTCTCCCATCTGCCCCAGCCACATGCTGCTTCTTCATGCACGGCCGACCCACCAGCCCACAACTTCCAGAAAACATTCTTTCACTAGTAAATGTTCTGACTTTCTCAGGAAACAACAGGCAAATTTTAAAAAGTTGTTTTTAAGGTTATCTTCCTAAACCCCCGCCAGTCTTTTCTGAAATCCTTGAGAAAATGTTTATCATTATTCCAGACTCCAATTTCTGGGTCTTCTGTCGTGTCTAGGGCTTTTCCCCACCTCTTGTTCACTGGGAGAATCTCCTAAAAGATCTACTTTTCTTTCATTTCTTTTTTTTTGGAGACAAGAGTCTCACTATATCTCCCTGGGTAGAATGCCAGGGCATCACAGCTCACAGCAACCTCAAATTCTTGGGCTCAAGCAATTCTCTTGCCTCAGCCTCCCAAAGGGCTGGGACTACAGGTGCCTGCAACAATGCCTGGCTATTTTTTGGTTGTAGTTGTCATTCTTGTTTGGCAGGCCCGAGCCAGGTTCAAACCTGCCACCTCTGGTGTTCGTGGCTGGCACCCTAGCTGCTGAGCTACGGAGCCAAGCCTGATCTACTTTTCTTTATTCTTTACAAGAATGACTGTTCACTTTCATTCTTCCAAGTAATTTTCCAGCATCTGCACATGTATTCATAATTTATATTTATACATTGGTATGTGTGTTTGTTCATATGTCAGGTTTTTCATTTTCTGCTGATAATTGCCTGTGCATGCATTTTAGTAATCTTATTGTGTAAATATTTATATTAAACTCATTAACTGAAAAAAAAAGAGTGATAGAGATTTCATAATCTCTATAGGTAGAAACTCTACATTTAAAATGCCCTTAGAGGAAGAAGCCCAAGTGCCCATCAATCCACGAATGGATCAATAAACTGTGGTATATGTACACCATGGAATACTATGCAGAAAGATGGAGACTTTACGTCCTTCATGTTCACATGGATGGAACTGGAAAATGTTCTTCTTAGCAAAGTATCACAGAAATGGAAGAAAAAATATCCAATGTACACACCCCTATTATGAAATTAATTTAAACCTTTTATATGAAAGCTATAAACTAATAACAACTTAAGAATACAGGGAGGGGGGAAGAAAAGGGGAGGGAGATGGTTGGAGGGAGAGGGATTGGAGGGATCACTTCTGTGGTTTACCTTATAAGGGTACAAGTGAATCTTTCTATGCGTAGAATATGAACGTTTTAACACAATAACTAAGAAAATGACATGAAGGCTCTGTTAACCAGTTTGATGGAAGTGTTTCAGATTGTGGGTGAAAACACCACATTGTACCCCAGAAGTGCATTAATGTACACAGTTACCATTCAATAATAAAAAAAGAAGCTTTTTAAGGAAAACAAAAAAAAATGCCCTTAGAATTAATTTCACTTGTTTAATTATCCAACAAACATATCAAGCATCTCCCACATGCTATACTTTTGAATAGCACTATGGCAAATGGATTTATTGGATGTTGATTCTGCTTTTTAGAGCTTAAAGTCTAATCGAAGGGATAGTACATAGGTACAAATAAAAAATGAGTTAAAAAAGTATAAATGCCATAAAAGAGGTAGCATAAACTATTCAGAAAACAATGAAAAGGAAGAAATTATGTCCACGGGGAAATTAGAATGGTCTTCTGGAAGATTCTGCACTTTGCTAAAGCTTGAAGTTAGAGTAGAATTTTGCAAGGGAAAGTTTCAAGAAAGGAAAGGGACAGCAAAGGCACAGGGTGGGAAAGAGGTCATTTATGGTTGGTTGGAGGGAAGGGAACGAGGGAACGTGTAAATAACATCAAGAAACAATTTGGATGCCAATGATTTACACTTAGGTTTGAACTAGATTTAAGGCTATTCTTGAAAGAAAATTAGTAACTTCCTACTCCTAATAATAGCCAGTATTGACTTTAATCAATTCTTACAGAATCAATATTCATAAATTCAATGAAAATCTTCAACTTCTTGAGGTGATAAATTTCATGTTTATTGTATACTCTTTAAAAAAGGCACATAGATTTTTGGGGGGGCCTTGAGATGGCTCAGTCATTTATGTTATGTTACTTTGTTACTTATTTAGGCTTTATATTAAGTATGTATCACATGCTTTGTTTTCCTAAAACCTCTTAATTTCAAAATTCAAGTGAGGTCCACCATAAATCAAATATTTATCTGATCGGCTTGGTACCTGTAGCTCAGCGGCTAAGGGCACCAGCTACATATACTGGAGCTGGCAGGTTCGAATCCAGCCCGGGCTGCCAAACAATAATGACAACTACAACCCCTCCTCCAAAAAAAAAATAACCAGGCATTGTGGTGGACGCTTGCAGTCTTAGCTACTTGGGGGGCTGAGGCAAGAGAATCACTTAAGCCCAAGAGTCTGAGGTTGCTGTGAGCTGTGATGCCACAGCACTCTACCCAGGGTGACAGCTTGAGACTCTGTCTTAAAAAAAAAAAACCCAAACACAAATATTTCACCTTGTTTGATTGGCTTAGGTTTTAACAAACATTTATTGAACTTTACTGTGTGCCAAGCACCGTGCTGGAAACAAGGTATACAAAATATATGTAATATCCTTTAAATCCTCCATTGCTCTTCAACTAATCCTTAACACACACTTGTCCCTGTCTCAAAGGGGACCCTACGTCTTTTCTTCCTGTTAGCACAATGCCTGATATTTAATCATTTTTCAAATTAAACACACAGTCACTAGGCCACATGTCTATCCTATCGAAGTGTGTCACTATGATTTAACTTAGATTGCAGGCTGCAGAATGGTACTTTTGGAAGGGTGGGATTGCCATCCCCAAGTGTGTGGTGGAGTACTGTCTGCTGATGATCCATCTAAATTTAACTTTTTCATAATTGCACTTGCAGTAAAAAGTGGAGGAGCAGGGCCTAGGTTTGTATTCCCACCTGAAATAATCAAAACACATGACAAAATGTGGAAGAATGGGCTTCGGGTATGTACAGCAGACAGCAAAAGACAGTGAAGTATGGGAGAAAGGACACAAACAAAGGTGGGTCCCGGGCTTTCCCCCATCTTACTGCCTGGAACTTCTAGGACACGCTGCAGGGAGGAGGAATGAGTTGTAGCCCAGAGAACTTGCTAAATTGAAAACAGTTGAGAGACCAAGGCAGCAAGTAGTAATAGAAAACCCCATAATTATAGTTGAAGATCTCACTACCCTTTTATAAATGATCAATCTCTTAGGCTCAGGTGATCCTCTTGCCTTAGCCTCCTGAGTAGCTAGGACTAAAGGCACCAACAACTATGCCCACCTAAGTTTTGTATCTTCAGTAGAGACCGGATCTCACTCTTGCTCAGGTTGTTCTTGAACTCCTGAGCTCAAGCAATCCACCCACCTTGCTCTCCCAGAGTGCTAGGATTACAGGCATGAGCCACAGCACCTGGCTGAAAGTAAAT